CCAGAGAAGGAGACCCCACAGCCTCCCTGGGCAGCCTGTTCCAGTGCTCCGCCACCCTCAGAGGGAAGAAGTTCTTCCTCATGAAGAACAACACGGCCCCACTCTGCACTGACAGAAGTCTGCGTACTCGGCACAGCTCTGCGTCGGCACAACCAGCCCCCGTTCCCAGGCCTGGCAAGCAGGCACCCACCCAGGCCCTGTTCCCACGCCTGGCAAGCAGGCACCCACCCAGGCTGACAAACACCCTCAGGGCCAGCGTCTGCGGGGCGAGCACACGCGTGCCCCGGCGCTGCCCGCTGCCCGCTTCGGGGTGCTGCTGGGGTCAAGGGGCTGCGCCAAGCTGCTGCCGCTCTGATGCATCCCGGCTGCTGGGGGGAACCTGGGGGAGCTCCCACAACGTGCCCTGGGGTCAGCGCTCCTCGTTCACCCGTGCGTTGATAGGGATCTTACGCTGAGCTGCTCACCGGGTTTATGCTGCAGAAGATGCTCGCGTTTTCGTAGTGCTGGAAGCCCCGTGGATTTCATGCAGCTCGCATACACATTCAAAAGTATTAAAATGAAGTCATTTTTAAACCCTCACGTCCCCAGAAATTTTGCATCCAGATCAGATAAGAAGGATTTTAGTAAATATTAGAGATAAATATTTTTCTTGGGGAATACACAGATACCGCGTTTCATCTCCACTATTTGTCTGCACAGCGTTTCATCTGCTTCAGCTTGCTTTTAGTTCTAGAGATTTCCCATGGCTGTGTGGGAGAACTTAAATCGTGTTATGTGAAAGGTATATGCATAAGTATATGTAAGCGTGTTTATGTGACATTCCGTGCACATCCAGCTCTAAAAAGGATATTTGTAAGCAGCAGGGAGAAAAAAAGTGTGTGAAGACATTGGTGGAGACGAATTTCAGCAGACAACTCCGTTTTGTCACTTGTTTTCTGAGATGTCCCACAGCCCACGGTAAGCACACCTTGCTCTGTCCTTCTGCAGACCACGCGCACGTTCTGGACCCTATCAAGATGTCAGGAGCACGTCTGGGTGGCTTTCCTGGCCGTAGAGTCAGGAGACTTGTTAGATTTGGTATCTGAGCAAAAGCAATCTGGAAGGTTTGTTAGACCGTCAGCCTGAGGTTGTATCAGCCAAGGTCTTTGATCAAAGATGGGAAAAACCTGCCAATTAAAGTGAAAGAAATACAAACGCGAGAGGGCCTCGTGTCCAAGGCCATTCCAGGTGGGTTTTTCAGAAGATGTTTTAACTAGCCTTCGTGATACACACAATGATATGCAAGTAATCTGCTCTGGGTATCTTGGGTTACAAGACCAGGTTCTCTAGCCAGGAAGGGAAATGCCCGTGGAACGAAGCTTGAATGCCCATTCTCTGCTACGGCCACGTGGCATGATGCCTGATACATCATCACATTTGTTACTCCTCAGGAGAGTACACAATGAAAACCGTGTTTTCTTACCACGCATATGGTATCTGGCATCAGGTGTAGCACAAGTACACGTTGCCATATGGACCAGCTCTCAAGGGCTTGGACGGAGGAGCTGTGCAAGGGTAGCATTTTCCTTCCCTGGTGTTAAACAGAAGTCAGTAAGAGGAAAAACCTGGAGCAAGTCCAGGGCAGCTCTGAAAAACTCATGAGGACTTCATCTCAGCCAAGGTGGATTTTTTTTTTTCTTATTCCCTAGGATATTAAATAGCTACAATGCAGCCCCAACACAGGACTGAGAGAGTGGGGAGCACG